TGAGATGCCATCAGTACTACACTGCTCCTGTTTTTATGGCTACTTCTGGATGAATGCTGATTGCTAGATCAGCATAATCATCTTTGCCTTCTGTATGACACAAGCTATACATCACATTTTTCTTGCAGCCCAAAAGTCTCTCTTCCGTGTATATTTTCCAGTCTTAAAGGCTCTATCAGACTCACTGCTGGAAGATGAGTTCTTTGGGATTATTCCCATACATTTCTGAGTCTGTTGCACAGAAGTGACAACACTGGTATCTGTTTCTATGCCTGGAATAAAATGATAATGCTTACCTGAAGTTATTAAATTAATTAAATGAAAGGAAGACTAACTAGGAAACTGCTTCCTGATACAGTTCAAGATGTCAGCATTTTATTCTGTGTTGAGATTTTTTTCACCTTAGATTAGACCAGTAACAATTCAGCCCATCACTCCTCCTGGATTAAAGTGTCTGGCTCTTGGCACATAGGCAGAGGGACTCAAGGTCCCCATTGTACTACGGGAAGATCTTGCCTAATATGTCTGCCCCTGGAGGAGCAAAGAGGGCAACACAGTGTCTTTTATTTATCACAAACAATTTCAAAGCATGTTGGTTTTGCTCCATCGCAGAAAAAATGTTGTACCAGCTCTTGAATGCAAAAAGCCATTTTTATTTCTCTTTTCAGCTGGAACATCAGGCAAAAAGTCCCCTTCAGATGGTTCCCCCTCTGCAGGAAGCCACTCCACCTGCTCCATCCTGGCAACAGCAAAGCTGCTACCTGGAGCCCCTCAGCAGCCGGTGAGCTGGGCCACTCAGCGTGGCCACTTAGCGTTGTCCTGATCTCCCCCATCTACACAGACACTTGAGCATCATGTACATGATGCACCTGTCGTACAAGGAAGTCCATCACATGCCTGAGCCTGGACTTCTTGTGCTGTGACGCTAGACTGTAGACCTGCTCAGCACCAGAAAAACGTTACTGAATTGCCAGGAATTAAAAAGTACAAAGAGGAAGAAAGAGAATGGTGCAAGACCAGGGCACTGTTGGTTTATTCCATGTGCTGCTTTCTGACAGATGCCAACTTGAATTTTCAACACCATGATAATACGCTTTAATTCTTTTCTCACCTCCTTTTTGATGGGCCGTGCTAGTACCCAGTCTACAGGAAAAGTCTTGACCCTTGCCAGCAAGGCTGCTAGCCCTCTGAGTAGACCAAGAGTGGAATGGGGAAACACCTTCCGACTCCTCTTTTGTTAGATGGGAACCCTGCTGTGTTGAACAAGGGATAGCTCAGGGTCTAGCTGTGGCAGTGAGCCATCGGCCTGTCTGTCAGCTGGTAACAAAGATGTATTATCTGCCAAAAGACTCCCCACCATTTCTGTAGTATTTATAGATTGCTAAATAGCCACTGGTGAAACTAGAACTTTCCAGGTGTGTAAGCTTAGCTGTAAGATTACAGGTGTACAAGAAAAGAAAAGCGTTTTCTCAAGATTACTCTTCTCTTATTTTTTTTAAAGCCTAAAGTCCGGACTGGAATAAGTAAACCTTACAATGTCAAGCAGATCAAAACCACCACAGCTGAAGAAGCAGAAGAAGCTATTAGATGTCTTATGGAAGCTAAAGGAGGTGAGCACAGCTTTCTAACTGACTTCTAAAAATCTTTAAATAAAGAAATCTGTAGGTGTATTCATCCTTCCCATCATAGCCCAGATGTATGTATGTCTATTCAGAAGCTCACCTGAACACTGCCATACACATTCTTGCAAGATAGTATTTAGTGTTCTCTGTCAGTTTTGATAATATTGACCTTTTTTTTGAAGATGACTCAAGTTCTATATTTTGGTGTATAATCTGTTAGTAGGAGCACCTTGTGTTATTTATGTCCAGATTTAGTCTGAAAAATTAAAAGATAAAGATGGGATCTTCCTAAACTGCTGATGCTTGTGTTAGCTCAGAGTTACCTAAAGGATAGCTGCCACTCTGTTAGCAAAAGCTCGCTATTCCAAGTGGGACTAGAGAGCAAACACAGCTGTGGGAGAAATAACCTGGATTCTGTTCATATTTGGACAGCAAGTATAGTTATAACCCAGGTAGAAGCTTGTGCCACGTCACCTTGAATAGCTAACCTACAAGGCTGCTCGGTGTGCAGGCTGTGTAATCCCTGGAGAAGAGAGATTCTTGAAGGCAGGTTAGAGCGGGAAACTAGCATAGGTATTGAAATTTAGGCAGTGTGAATGCACCCTCCAGGATTGCAAGTAGTCTTTCTGCTGGTGCTGTATGAAGGAGAAAGAATGCAGTGTGACTCCGAGATAGTTACCTGAGTTTGCAAGGCTCTCGGTTAAGGAGAAAAACATCCCTGTTCATTTGTACATAGAGTGAATGCAGTTTGGAATAATCCGATTTAATTCGAAATATCATAAAGGCATCTTGATGTTTGTTCCTTAGAGTGCTGTACATTTGTTTTTTAAATGATATTTACTCTCCATTCATTTTGAAATTCACATTAAGCATTCCACTCAGTGCTGGTAAGGAAGCTAAGTCCGGTCAGTATCACTTTCAGTCCCTTGTGCTCTACCACCAGTTGGCATTTACAGTTCTTCCCAAAGTACAAGACACGCTCGGTATCGTTATCTTGATTATCCAGATAAGGACACGAGGGCAAAAGGACACTCAGGACGTGAGCCCCATACTCCTGAACTCCCAGCCGGTGTTTTATCCACTTGGCCACGTGGTGGCACAGCACTGCGGGTTTGGCATTTTCCCTAACTAACTGCCTCTTACAAATGTGACAGGATTGCAAAGGTCTCGGAGTATTTCTGAAACCTACCTTCCTGGCCTGAGCCAGCCTCTTAGGCATGCACATGTTGGGAAACATGATTGTGAAAGAAATTATCTTGAAGCTACGTTCTGATCAGGCCAAGACACTATTTGGTTTTGCTTTTCAGGACTACAGGAAGATGTAGTAAAGCCTGCTCCAGCTAGAAACCAAACGTTCACCAAAGCCGAGCCTCTTCCCAGCATCACAAAGTCAGCATCATTTCAAGGGTTGCAGGCAGGACCAGTGCTTGTGCCCCATCGCCCGCCACCCAAAGTTCCAGCCATGAAGAAGCCAGTACCTCTGCAAAGGACTGGAGCCAAGGCTGAAAATGTAAGAGAGGTGCAGCAAAATGCATCCAACCTCCATTACACAGTGTGTACGATGGGAAGAGGGATAGGCTGTTGAAACAGTTTGTATGAAGTCCTGTCATTTAAAGTTCTTAGTCAGCAGGCGCTGAAATGATTTTGTGTATTGTAGTCACCAAGGCATAAAAAATGTAAGAAAGATTGGAAAGGAAATAGAGTCTTGAGTTCCTTACTCAGCCGTATTCAGCTTTTCTATTTGTCAGCCTATTCTCTTAGATTTTGTTACTTTTCTTCTGGTTTGTCTAAACCTTGTCAGGATTTAGAACTCATCCCTTCTTTATCACAGTATTTACTTTTAATATATTTATTATATTTATTATAATATATTTAACTTAATAAAAGCCTATAGACAGAAGTGGCACAGGATATGTCCATCATGAAATTTTGACTGAATATTTTGACTGCACTAAAATGCCTATATGTTACCTTTTAATACTATGGGAGTAATAAAGAATCAAAATGCTTTCATTCTGAATGAAATATACGCTAGATTGTACTTGTAGCTTCAGTTCCTAGCATCAGTGAGACATGGCAGAGCCATTAACACATTTATTGGGTTAGCTTCAAGTGAATTGTCCTTCAACCTTATGTATCGGAACATACCCAAAGGCATGTGCTAATGGCTCCATTAGTTTAGCCCTCCCCATGCATTCTTGCTTAAATATTAGTCAGTGGAGAGAAGAAATAACACAGTTCTGAAGAGATACTTATTTAATTTGTCCCAGAGCAAAATCCTAACGTGAAAGAGAGCTGGTCAGAAAGAGATGTATTTCTCATACAGGGAGCGAACAGGCTGTGTAGGGTCCTTGTCCTCGAATAGCACCCTGTAAAAGGACACGGGTCCAAGGCACGCTGCACAAGAACAGAACCAAGCAAGTACAGCGTAGAACTGTGCTGTCAAGCCTCCTCTTCCTACTGGTTTGGTTTTTTTTCCTTCCAGTGCTATCAGCTTTTCTCAGTACTGCCATCAATAAGACTTGCAATAGTAGTGACTCTGAGTTTAAGGTGCCCTTTTTGTTCTCATATTTCTTCTTTTTCCCTCTCAGGCAACGTCTACAGAAGAGCAATCTGACCAACAGACAGTTCAGTCTCCTTTTGGCTTGCCAGAGCCCTGTCCAGAAGCCGGACCTGTACTTAGTCCAACCAAGATTACTCCAGTCCCTAAACCCAGAACACCACAACCTGGGAAGCCTCAGGAGAGCAGGGGGAGCAGTGAAAGGCAGCCCCCCTCGGCTGCCTCAAGCACGGCTGAGGCCAGCACGCTGCATCCCGTGAATGCTTCCTTTGCCCCAAAGGTGCCTCCACGAAGAAAGAAGTCAGCTCCTGCAGCTCTTCATCTGCAAGTTCTCCAGAGCAGCAACAACCCACTTTTTAGTGGGTTAACGTTCAACTCCGACAGCAACAATCCCGGGCTCTGCCCCCAGACTCGGGACGCTCATGTCCCAGCACAGTCGGCTCTCTCAGCTCCTCTGCCCTCTGCCAGCCCAGAAAACACCACAACGAAGCAGCTGGCACCAAATGCTGCAGAACTGATGGCTAACCTTCGGGGCCCTCCTGTAGCAGGTGACCAGCATCCACAGCTCCCAGATACCAGCTCCCTTCCAGAGAACACCAATCTTTTGGACCTGGACACAGATTCTTCCTGCCCTCTTTCCATACAGGCAGCATCAGCTACTTCTCCAGCACGCACTCCAGAGAAATTAACACGCCCCGGCTTGAAAGATTTCAGTCACTGGGTTACGTTTAGTGATGATGAAGACAGTGGTGCGCTGTCAGAAGGGTTCAACAAACTGCTTGTCTTAGAACAAAACAAAAATACCTTGATGAACACAAATACCGATTTAGAATTGTAAAATTTGTCCCCTTAGTGTTCCTATAGCAATCATAACTATGATGCAAAATGAAAATAAATCTTCTGCACAAAGATTTTTATTTAAGGAAACAGATCATCTGTCCAGGCTCCATTTCATTCTCATGTTTAAAGATAAAGATACTGCCCCTGGAGGGAAGTGTACAGACTACATACAATCTAACATTATCTACAGCTTGTTTGAGAAGTTCTTTATTCTAAAAGTAAGTTATTTCTTTTTATTAATCCATCTTAAGATGTTTTATTTCACTTCAGGTACAAATCACATGTAAGAACATGTAATGATGTTAAGAAAACCATTTTCCTCTGAAATTTATATAGTAATCAGTTTCTGTAACTTGAAATAAAGCACTCTTATCTTGAATCATTAAGACAGACTGCTGCAGTTATTCTGGAACCACCATCCAAAAGGGGAATATATATGCACCAGTGTAACTACAGCAGTAACATTGCTATTGTGCTGCTACGAAGCTTCTGCTGTGGAGATGAGGCTGAGTAGCTTCTTGTAGCTCTTGACTAGCTGCAGGTTAGCAGCCCCTAGTACTTACCTTGTTAAACTTATTCCTGGGTTGAAAGTAAAATGTAAAATGCAAGGCATGTGCTATGAGGCAGAACCAGGAGAGGTGGCATCCAGCCATCAGCAAGAAACGCCAGTTTTTCACTCCAGAGCAGGCAAGTAAACCCCTGCATTACGACGGAGCTCTTTGAAGTGCTGTGCTGGTAATGGCACTGCAGTAACACGCTTCAGCTGTTCTAAAAGGACGGAGTAGCCTCTTAAAATACTGCGCCGGCCTACAATGAGCTCAAAGGCACATGGAAATACGGGGAATAGCCGAGACCTGCTGATGACATAGGTCATTAGCATATTAACATCTGATGCTAAAAATGGTGTACTAATTCAGTAGTGTCCCTATTCCCATGCTCCTGCTTTGTAAGAAAACGCTATGTCCATCTGTTATTTCCACAACGCAGATGAAGAAAGAGCTGGTTGTGGAACCTCAGCTTACCCACGTGCAACACAGGCTGTTACATCCTGAAACTAGGCCATGCACCCATGTCTGGGGACGGCAGAACCCTCCTGCAGAGCAGACCGGTTGCTTATGGCCACTAATGAGTTTGCCCACTCACAGTAAAGCTCAGCTCTGACTCCAGAGTGGTAGGCTGGCAGGGGGTGGAAGCAGGTAGAGCTACTGCTCTCACTGTGCATTTCTGCTAATCATCAGCTACGGATTAGTTTGTACCAGGGAAGGAGCTGCCATCTGCTTCCCATTCACCTTGGCAGCTGCAGTGAAGCCGTGCTGCAGCGGAGGGCCAAGCAGCCCTGAGAAACAGTATGATCACTGATCAGGAGCTGGGAAGGCCAAGAGATGGAACCACACATGGGCAACTGCATCTAAGACCGAGGAGAAATTTAAGAAGCCCATGCACCACTGTAACTAAAGCTGTTGCTCAGCTTCACTGTGTATCCCTACAGGGAGCATACCCAGGCAGGACGCAGCTGCAATGCCCAGAGTAAGACTAACACACAGTAACTACCACAGTCAGTTCTACGCAGGTTCTTACAAACAAAAGGTTTCAAAGATGACCATTTTCAGTAGTTCAGACCGAGGGAAACACCCTGTTAACCACTGTACAAAGTCCAGGCAAGCACTCCTTTGCTTCTCCCTTATGTTTAGCCAGTATTCCACCAGAGCCTGTAGGACAAGTATTTCAGGTGAGGCTATAGGTCACTTACCGTGGTGGGCTGGCTCATGGTGCATTGCTGCTCAGCAAAAAGCAGACTTGATCTGCATTAACGAAGTCATCTCATTTATTAGCAAGCCAGCAGTCAAGCGCAAGGTTTTGGTGAGGATAATCCATGGTGCTAAATGTGCCTGTCACCTGCTGTAGCTGCGCAGGCTTTTGCCTTGCCAGTGCAGTAAAACTAGGTGCCATTTGTTCAAAGCAGGAGTTAAAAATGACCAACGATTGCAACTTGTTGTGGTAACTTCATACGAGAAGCATCAAGAACATACATTATTAAAGGAAGGAGAGCATTTTTTAAGCAGCTGGTGAAGCTGAAAAAGCCCTTGTTTTCAGATTTTCTTTTGCAGAAAAGATGTATTAAAAATAAAAAAGTACAGAGGTTTGGGGGTTTTTTTAATTGGAAAATTAATTGGCTTGTTCTCAGCTTCTTGGAAGCTGGGAATTCAGCCATTTTCTTACTTGCAATGCCTACCTGGTTCACTGCCACTGCCAAATTTTGAACACAAGACATCCTGTAAGAGTGGATGCTGCCTGAGCACATGCCATCCTCCTCTGCTCCCTCATGTGCCGGACACTTCAAAAAAAATTCCCCAAAACCTTCAAAGGCCAAACCAATAAAACCCAGTACTAAGCTTCTTCCGTGAGTGTCAGTTTAACATGGTAGCAGGCTGGTGAATAATGCCGAAGCAAGATAGTTGTTTT